TGAGTGGAGGAGGGTGGACCAGGCAGCCTTAGGCCTTTCCCACTTTTTCTTTCAGCTACAAAGTCAACTGAGGGCTCTGGAGGATTAAACAAAAAAAAAAAAAAGGGGGGGGGTGAGAGCTGGAGGCTCTGAGCACTGCTGGAGGAGGTACCAAACTGTGGGGTGCAGGGTCATAAGCCTGGGCAGTCCCGGGGCAGGAAGTCTCCCGTACCCCCCACCCCCTGCCCGACGGCCCTGGCCCCTCGCGCTAGTCTCAAGCCACCGAGAGCCAACCAGGTAAAGAACCAGAGAGCAGTCCCATTAAGACAGACCTGTAGGCTGCCATCATCTGCACAGGGAAGGCCTACATTTGTGTCCAGATGAAGGGCTGGGGGAAGGGCTTGAATGATCTGGAAATTAAGCGCACCCCTCTTTTTACTTTCGCTTGATTGTCCTGACCTAGGAATCCATGGAAAACCTTTGATGGGCGTCTGAGGCCCTTTTCCTTGAAGGCGTGTGTTTTCCTGGGCCCCTCTGGGAGCTGGGTGCCAGGGTCTGCCGCAAATCCCAAAGGAGGGTGAATAAAAATGCCTGTCTGCCTACGTGGAGCCGGGCAAGGAGAAGCGAAAATACGAACTTCAAAATAAATCACGGAAGGCCACTCTCTTCCTCCTGCGCCTGCCATTGTTGGTTTTACAGAGGTTTGAACTCAGGATGTCATTTTACTTTCCTTTCTACCGGCGAATGAATTATGAAAATGAACCTGCTCCAAGAGCTAGAACCGCACACAGGTTTAGCATGAACAACCCTTGGAGTTAAGTTAGATTCCTCTGATTTTTCCTTTGTCAAAGGATGCAGTGGTTTAAGGTTTCTTGTCACCTGTCATCCTCAGCCCTTACCTTTCTAGCCAGAGCCCCGAGGAAGACCTCCCCACTAACCAGCAGCAAGGTAGCCCTTGTTCCCCCAGGGACAACGCGCTTCTCTTGAAGGGAGGGGGGAGAGGGCAGGTGAGGACCTCAGAGATCCGCGAGGTCTATCAGTGCGTCCGGCTAATAAACGACTTTTTCACTGTCCACACTATAATTGGTTTACAGCCTTTTTGTTTATTTATCCATAAGAGCCGCTGTTAAATGGCTCGGCAAGGCGCTCGCCTAATGGCCGGGATCATTCTCGGGCCAGTTTCAGGCGAGGGGGCCTGGGGGCGGGGCGGCCCCCCAGGCGTCAGCGGGGATCCAGAGCGGAAACGCATTTCACCTTTAATGGACTTGGCGATTTTACGATACCGTGAGCTGTGTCCACAGGGAGAAATACAAAGCACAACCTCGCTCAGTGGAGAGGGTCTGCGGGACGCGTTTTTCTACGGCTGTGTGATCACTGTTGTTAGGCTCCAGGGAGGCGCTTCTGCTCCTAGCGACCCCACGTTCAAGGGAAGGAATCCCAGCGGGTCCTGCGCCGGCCTCACAGGCCTTGCTCATGCTTGAGCCCATCGTGCAGCCACTGTGACATCTCCTTAAGGGTCTTCCCCTTTTTAGTTGACCCTCCACCTCACCAAGCATGATTTCCTTCTCCAGAGACTGGTTCCTTCTGGCCACAGGGCCAAAGTAGGTGAGACGAAGTCTGGCCATTCTCGCTTCCAAGGAGCATTCCGGCTGTATTTCCTCCGAGGCAGATTTGTGTACGTTCTTCTGGGGGCCCTCGGTAGGAGCTCTGGTGGCGTAGTGCCTAAGGCACTTGACTGCTAACCAGAAGGCTGGCGGTTCAAACCCACCAGCCACTCCTCGGAAGGAAGATGGGGCAACCTACTTCTGTAGTGATGTTGTTGTTGTTGTTGTTTGCCGTAGTGATACTGCCTCGGAAACCCAAGGAGGGGTCGCTATGAGTCGGGTGCGACTCCATGGCACATAACAACAACAACAATGGTATATTGTGCACTGTGGTAGATTGTACTATGTGATGTTGGCAACGCCAACTCCTGATAGCTGTGTCCAACCTAATAATAAAATAACAAATGGCTGTTTAACCATTTACTGGGCCTCTTCTTTCGGTAGCAGGAAGCGGAAAGCGCTAATTATGAAAGTAAGACCTACCACCATTAAATACCCCGCTCCCCCCACGCTCCCATCCCCCAACCCCTAGTGTTTGCTGCGCTCCTAGGGCCTGATTTTCGTCTTCTTCTTCTTCTTTTTTATTTATTATTATTATTTTGCGAGGGAGCGCTGTGGGCGGCCACGCGTTCTGCTGAGCGCTCTGTTCTTTCTGCAGGGTCGAGCAAAATGTTAAATGATACCAAATGAAGCATTGAAATGGAGCCCAATTTAGAGAAATGTGCAATTAGACGAGAATTGCAAAGTAAACCCTCCGGGGCGGAGGCGGCAGGAGAGGCTGGGGGCGGGGGAGAGGTACCGAGTCCCGAGTTACTGGCGCAGGAGAAGGAGGGGGAGTCTGGCTCATAATCTTGTCGCCAAGTCAACCCACAGCGACCCGGCAGATTATCTCCGAGGGTCAACACGCCGCGGCCAGGCAACCCTTCCTCCGGATCGATGTGGTCACTCGCGGCAGCGCGATAGCGGCGGGTCCTCGGCGGCCGCAGCCAACAATGGGCTCATTGACGCGGGCGCTCGGAGATTAAGGGCGCGGGTCCCACGGTCTTTCACCTCCCAACTCTTAGGACCGCAGGTGACCCTTTTCCCTGAAGAAATAGCTGGAGTTCTACCCAGCTACCCAGGGTTCCCTCAGCCTGCCTTTCCGGGAGAGTCAGGGCCTCACCCAGCCAGGGGGCTGTGCGCGCGCCTTTCCAAACTCCCACAACCTGCGGTGCGTTCTGCGCGCCCCCGAAAGCGTACCCCGAGCCGGCACCGCGATACCCCGCGAAGATTCCTTATCTGCCAACGAATCCAAACTCCCAACTGGCTTTTCTTTGGGTGTTTTTTTTTTTTTTTTCCTTTTTTAACGAAAATGAAAAGCATTTCTGCAATGCACATGTACCCATTCGCAGCACTAGTATTTCCACTGGAGAAAGATACATTGAAATCGAGCACCTCAAGGCCTGCATGTTGGTGTGTGATTTAGGACAGTCATTGCTACAAAGGGATTTTTCCTGCATGGTTCACACTCCCACCAGCGCAAAGACGTTGGGTTTCTCTAAAACCCTTCAGGGCAGTTCGGGAAATGTCTTCATTTCGGCCCGGCAGGGTCCAAGGCTGACCGGACCGCCTAGGGCTGCGTCGGTAGTACCCAGGCCCGGGGTTAAGCGCCACCTCCATCCAGAGGCAGCCGATCTGTGCAGGTTAGTCCGGAAAAATGACATCGGCGTGCCCACCGTCGGGGTGGAAGCCCAGAGAGACGTGAGCATGAGAAAATGCAGCGACTGAGGTCTTTTCTAAACACCTCGACTTTCTCGGCCTGCCTCATTTCAATCCGACGCAGGGGCGCACGCTAGCCCTTGGGCGACTCTGAGCCTAGCCCGGGATCCGCAAAGAGGCTGTCGGAGAACCAGACTCGCCGCTGCCAACCGCAGCTTCCGCTCTGCCGGGCACAAGACCCACCAAGCGCTCCTTCTTCTCTCCCTACACGAAATGAGTTCTGAGTTGGCTAAATGAGCCCCAATTTTGCA